CGGAAAACATGTGTATGGTTTACCAGAACTACCAATTACTAAAAGTTAACAAATATATATAAATATATTGTTTGTTTTGTATAGAATTGTACATTTATATCTTATACTGACTGTGTTGGGTCATTAAGTTGTAAAAAAAGAAAATCTGTAAAATCATACGTTATGTAACAGATGAATATCATTTGTACTTTATCCTTTGTATCCAATAAATTGATTATATATAATCAATTCATGTAGTTAGGTTTTGGTTTAAATTAATTACCTAATAATTAATGTGGATCATGTTGTTTTCACATTGTACATCTCAAATAGCAGACGAATATTAGTTACCAAGCTTCTTATTTGAAAGGCTAATTAATTTTTAATACGTCTCTAACACTCTCAGCACATGGGAATTTATTAGTTTATAAATGTTATTTAAATATATATAAATCAACCTGTTGAACCACAACCATTGGGAATCCAAAAATAGTGTATACCCGAAATTATAAACTATTGAATGATATAACATATCAGCCAACAATGGACATCCATAGTAATATGCAACTTTCACATAAACCTGAAAAGTCGTACGCAAGATTCAATTAAAAAAAGAGTGATTTCTCTAGAATGGTGGGCTTTTTGAATTTAAGTTCACTTTAATACTACAGAAATATTAAAATAGTCATTAAAAAGGTTATGACATTTTAAAACTCGCATTAAACAAGTATCTCTTCCATTTGACTTGGGTGGTGCTATATGAACTGCATTTGCATTGTATACAAAATAGACTGTCAATGGTTTGTTTCCTCATTTATTTCACTATCTGGTTCGAAAATTGGAATTTCTATTAAAGATTTGATTTGAATTTATATTGTATTGTAATGAAAAATCTATTAAAACAAAAATATTATGAAAACATTAAATAATAATATCAATATTCAGAATTCAAAGTTGTTTTGAATCTGTTCACTGACATCCACTGTACAGTACCATGTCAGTTGGGTTTACGTTTTCAACCTATGATCGACTGCCAGTTCCATGAATTCCATATTTTCTCTTTTAATATGGCAAATTCTTAACATTTAAGCAAATTATCTGTGAAGCTCTTTTTCAGTTTATTGATGAATGTGTGCATGAGTAAGTTGTCATCCACCAATGCCACCAATTAGAGGCTGAACATTGGATGAGATATTACTAGCATCATAACTAGGCATTTGCGAGTAGAATGCCATATAGATTCTAGAGTAAAGAGAATCATTTCTCTCTCATATCCTGACCTG